AATCAGCCCGTCCCTATAGACGCAGCGGCAAGTGATGCTGAAGCGAGTGGGAGCACTCCGATAAATTCTCTCAACCCACCAGCAGGCGGTATTTTTGGCACGACACTTCAGGCCAACGTCTCCTCCAGTTGGCGGAGAGATGGGCTTAAGTGGAGTACTCAGCCTTCACCACAGCCAGTGCTAAGACGATCTACTCGGATCCGCACACTCACAGAAGCAGGGGCACAATTTCAAGAACGGCTTGACTTTCAGGCTGCCCGCCGAGCTTCTCGGCAGCAAGCTCAAGCTAGAGAGCGTGCCCAGACAGCTCCAAGTGGTTCCAACACGTTCTACTATGCAGCAGCTCCTCCAGGCGTTTCTGGAATTATTCTGTCAAGGCCAAGATATCTTGGTTCCCAAGAATTTGCGTGAGGCACTCTCCAGTCCTGAGTGTGAGCAGTGGCAAGCAGCAGCAAATTCTGAGTATTCGTCTCTCATGGAGATGGCCTCTATCCGCTTGTTACTCAATCTTGCAGCCCAGCAGAATTTAGACGTGGAGCACACCACGGCGTTTCTCTATGGCGATCTTGACGAGGAAGTTTATGTCCTTCAGCCAGAAGGATATGTCATCAAAGGCGTGCAAGTTTAAGAAGGCTTTATATGGATTAAAGTAGTCTCCACGGCAGTGGCATGCGATGATGAACAGCTATCTACTCTCCATCGGTTTTGTGAGTATTTCAGCAGATTCTAACTTTTATCTTCGCAAGTTAGGTACAACATATATTTATCTTGCACTCTATGTAGACGATTGTCTACTAGTCGGTCCAACTCGCAGCAGCTCAAGCGTGAGCTACAGGCACGACTTAAGATGGTGGATCTTGGACCAGTGAAATATTGTTTGGGGATCGAGATTATACGCAACAGGCAGGCTGGCATCATACAATTATCACAGCAGAAGTATGTTGACGATATCTTGGAGAGGTTTCATTTTGCTGGGCTGAATGAAGCGTCAACTCCTATGGAAGCCGGCCTCCATCTCAGCAAAGATCAAGTCCCACAAACAGTCGAGGAATGCGAGAAGATGAAGCAGATACCGTACCGACAGATGGTTGGCAGCTTAGTCTACCTAATGGTTTGCACACAGCCAGATTTGGCTTTTTCAGTGGGAGCAGTGTCCCAATTTCTCGAGACTCCAGGATTTCTTCATTGGTTAGCAGTCAAACGTATCTTTCACTACTTGAAGGGGACCAGACATTTTGCACTCACGTACTCCAAAGTCCCAGCAGGTATGCGACTGTTTGGCTTCACGGACGCTGACTTTGCAGGCGAGGTTGAGCAGCGCAGATCCACCTCAGGTTATATTTTTAGTCTCGGCAGCGGCGCTCTCACATGGTGCAGTAAGTGACAGTCAATTATAGCGTTATCGTCGACCGAAGCAGAGTATGTTGCAGCTACTCAAGCAGCTAAGGAATGTTGCTGGCTATGACAGCTTTTGGATGGCATCGGCTATTCTCAGCTAGCGCCAACAGTTATCTTTTGCGATAACCAGGGTGCTATTGGGCGTACCAAACATTTCCAGGTGCAGTTCCATTATATTCGAGATCAAGTGAGCCAGCGTGTTTTTGGAGCTCATCCAGTGTGGAACAACAGAGCAGGTTGCAGATATTTTTACCAAGGCGTTACCTCCTTTGTTCCAGCGACACGTACAAGCACTTGGCGTGAGAGAGCTCCTTGAGCGAGCACCTTAGTGCTCGAGTGGGAGTGACACGAATATGCTTGGCATAGCATATTCTCCAGAGCTCTCTAGAGGCGCGGTAGGCAGTTAGGGGACACCAGAGAGTAGGGTGTGTTTTCCTTTGTAGCCTCTTGTGATGAACAAGACCCTGTTCATCCTTATCAGAACTTAAACTCCATATAATCTCTTTCGCTTTAGAAACTACGGTGAAGGAAAGTCTCTCCAAGAATGAAAAAGATTGGATGCGAAACAAATATGATATAGTCTGGGAGGAAATCTCTTCAGTTTTGGACAAACCAAAACCCGATTGCACGAGGGGAATTGGGAGGAAAAGTCGATGGCTATGTGATATGTGCGAAGAAATGCTTTCTTCCTATGATTAACGAATCTTCATGCTTCTCTCATCATTTCCAATGCACACCATTCTCCTTGTGCCATCTGGACCAGTACTTGAAGCTATGTTATTCTCACTATATAATAAGACACTAAATTCTATACTAACAAGAGAGTCTTGTGATACTTTTAAGATTTGCCATATATATAAACACTACTCCATTTGGGTGAATTTGCCCAACTGAATAGACACTATGGACCTAAGAGGGAATCAGAATGTTTAAGAAAAGTATAAACCAATGAGGTTTAAAATTTTCTTTTTCCAAATAAGAACATTTTCATCTCCCAAATAAACAGGAATATAACCAATTTTTTTTCCTATCTAAGAGATGGAAACTTTGTTGGTTTGTGGTTATAAGCTTTAATGTGATACTTTTGGATATTGAAGTGAGCCAGTGATGTATGCCTTAATGTGATACCTCTTTATATTAAAGTAATTATCCAGTGATGATGGCTAGAAGCTTTAATATGATAGCAAAATAAGGACAAACACATTTAATGAGGAGTTAAACAATGTGTCATGCCATTATCCCTATTATATATTTGGAACCTTAGTCTTTAGACTTTATAGAGTATATACCTTAATAAAGGATTATATTCTGGAGCCTTCCTTTTTAGGTGAAAAATTTTATCAACAATTTTGAGATGATGGATATCTTAAAATTTAAGAACTTCTAATAAGATTTTTAATAATATTAGTGATTTAATACTGTTCCTCAATCGACCAATATCATAAAAAGCCTTCAGGAATGTGTGGTGCTCTCAAAGTGATCCCCATCTTCTGTGAGAGTGGCAAAAATATCAACGCTGATGTTTATTGAAGGGTTGCAGCCACCATCTATTTTCCTTTGTCAAGAGTGTATAGATCTACATCTGGGATGATGTCTCAGCTAGAGGCATCCCACTGTGGTCACCATCTATTGTGAGGGAATCTTGCAACCTTGCCACACACTCAAGATCCAATGAAAATCGATTTCTGACTGGTGTGTCCAATCTCAATAACACAATATATATAAGAATATCCCTAGAATCATACCCATGCTCTTATACGTACTGAACATGGGTAGTAGAACTCCCAGAAGCTTTGTTGTGGTTGAGTTCTTGCTTAGTTATCAAATATATCTTAAATAACAAACATGACTTCCAAATTAAAGGGTACGTTCTCCAGCATTTGCTGGGTCCATTCTTTTGTCACACCTTAGATTGGAATTCGGAAGATATTGGAATGCTTCAGCATCGTATACAGGATCGTTCTTCACGATCTCGATGGAGTGGTTGGGCCCCAGCTTGGCTGGCCCTTATACGACATAGGATGGTCATGAAGGCATAGGATCAACGACTCAAAACTCACTTCAAGATCTACACCACTTGTAACTTTGTTCGCAGCCTATAGTCCGATACAAACATGATAAGTTCAAAGAGAGCTTCGGCGCCCGAGCCACTTTTTATAAATGAGTCCAGACAAAACTTGGCAGCTACGATAATGTACATTCAAAACGCTTGTTTTATATAGGAGGAATTCTCTCTCTCTCTCCCCCTCTCTCTCTCTGGGCACGCCATGATCAAGGTGGCATCCCTTGTCATCTTATTGCTCTTCCTGCAACCTTGGCCTGGTTCTAGCGTGACGATCCGGGAGAGGAGGCATGTGGGACGCTTCTCCCAGTTCGAAGCCAGGAGGATTACAAATGCCATCTCCAATCGCATCAGACAGCTCTCCTACGACTCCTCGTACAGCTCAGGCAGGAGCTTCAGCTATACGTTCATGGTCACGAACAGGATCAAAGCCTCGATACGCCTCTGGTTCTTCAGCATCGCCCCCTCCAGGGTTTACAGCTTGTGTTCCATCTCGCCCGATAAGTCCATGATCTTGTCCACCCAAACCTTGCAGCAAGCCTACTGGGACATCTTCAACACCATCTACACCGAGTCCCAAGCTCACGGGTATGGATCCATGATCGTCTTCTCCAAGCTCTTTGCCATTGACTACGTCTCTTGGGAGGGACAGCCGGACAGAGAGGAGCTTTGGAGCGTTGAAACCACGGACAACTCGAGCTTGCATGGCCGTGATCTTTGGAACGAGTCAGCTTTCTCTTTGCTCCGCCGGGACGCCGTGCCTGGCGATCCGGACCTCGTCGTGGAGGACTGCTGGCCTTTTGCGACGAGCATGATCAGCGGGCATGGATCCGTCGGCTCCTTCTTCATGGGTCCGTACATCTTGGAGTCGAAAAACCAGAAGTTCAAGGCCTTGATCAGGAGCGACTGTTACTTCGTCCTCTACGAGTGGCGTGATGGCCTGGGTGGCAAGAGGGAGGTGTGGAACAGCGGGAGGGTCATGAAGAACCGGTATGCATCGTGCTCCGTCAGCCTCCAAGTCGATTCCAATATGGTTATTGTGGATAATTGGGGGAGAAAGCCGCAGTTTGCCTTCGCATCCAATGTCTACTGCAAGCCACAGCCGAATTGTGTTAGAACGGCCGGGCTCTCGGTGGAGGACGACGGCTACATTGTGGTGTGGGAGACGGACAGCCAACGCGAGCTCTGGCGTGTTCCTCCCAGATGACAATGGAAAAAACTTGCCTTAATAATCCTGGCGCATGGAAAGCTTGCTTTTGGTTGAGCCAGGACAATCTCGCCGCCGCTCAAGTTGCTCTGCAAGTCGACGGCGATGCTTGGGAGGGCTTTGGAGATTTTCATAATCTGGAAAAATGCCTTTTAGCTTGATTTTGTTTGGAAGAATGAGAATAATAAAAACTTTCACTTACAGCCGCTCCTTGATCACAAATCTTGTTCTCTCCAATGTGCAAAGCTTTGAGTCCGATCGGCGGCGGTGCCTTGCCGATGATATCGGCTAGTGTGTGAACGCCCTGCACAGGTAGCAAACGTCATGGCAATATTATACACTCAAAGCTGTATGAAATACTTTATCGGTTATCCCATTGTCGACCACTGAAAGTTTCTGAAGTGCGGCGGTTATAGGACGGCCAGTCTCCCAAATATTTCTTGCAAGAATCTCCAGCCCCTACAGTTTTTGGTTCATGTCAGTGAAAACGATATATGTATGAGCAAACCCGGTCAGAGAGCTGGTTATGGTCCAAAAGTAGTTCCTGGAGCGTGCTGCTTTCAGAGATTGCCAAACCCAGACCCGAAGCACTTTTTGCTCGAATCATATTCTCCTGTAGCGTCAACAAAATGCTAATAGCGATGGCACTTCACTTTACACTTACGCTAAAGTCAAGTTTTTCAAGGGCGACCTTCAGAGACATGGACATGGTCGCTAAGTGTCCTTGTATCTTTGACATCTCTTTGTCACCGAACTTGCAGTTCGCTAAACTAAGGCTCTTGACAGACTGAAAGAGTTGAGGTTACATTAGTAGGAAATTAAACTGGAATGGTGTCAACTTACGGAACAGCTTGGAAGCAAGTCCGAAAGGCCAATAAGTAAAGACTCCGTATCAGCACAGTCCTTAAAATCCCAGTGCTCAACATTAGGATTTTCCAGCAGTCTGACAACAAGCAAATTAAGAACAAGGAAAGAAATATATACATTCTTGTTACTTGAGCACAGTTTTATCTGGTTGCATGTGCAAAACCTGGGCCTTCTCTACATATGAGGTCTGAAATAAAACCATTTCTTTTAGCATACCACCACTTTGCTAACTTAACTTACTTGCATCAGACGTCTAGAAAACAGCGAGAGCCATGAAGCAGCAACCTCGGTGGTTTCTGCTCGCAGGCATAGCTTTCCCTGTGAAAAGGGCTCAATACAGGCAAAAAATTTAAACAACGGTACCTCTGGTATCTGAACAAAGATGAGAAACCCAAGAAAGCTTGATGGATCATCACCGACAAGAGTATCCCCGTCTGGAGCAAATTTCCTTGCATCGTGAACTTTCTTACCCAGGTCGTCCCAATGAGGCTTCCGAATGACCGTGCTCCTACTGGATAGCTTACAAAAGAAAAACAAAGTAGCTTAGAAGAAAGTTAAATGGGAAGGCACACATACATCAAAGATTCGCCTTGGTTCTTTGCCCTGGATATCCACCTCCGGCGATGTCAAGCTCTCCTTCACCCTGTAGTAGCTCAAAAGAAATCCTTTCAAGTAGAACCTGCATCAAGGTATATAAAAAAAATGTCCCAACGAGAACTAAAGTTATAAACTTCTTCAAACCATCTTCGAGTCCACCGATTTTTCAGGGACTTGTCATTGGACATGAGAGGGGTCTTCCACAGCCAACCCTGTAAAGTGAAAACATCATGCTAGATACTAGTTTGCATGGCAAGAACAACGTTACTTGTTTTGTGGAATCTGAAGATATCTCGCTCGGCATTCCGAGCAACTCTCTTTGGACTCGGCTACCTCGTCCAGGGCCACCACTGTCAGTAGAGCCTGATCTGCCAGTGGAGCAGCTACTGAAGATGCTCTCACTACGGGTTCGTAGTGATGAAAATCTTCTGTCTGGGAGGTGTTTGGCATCCTTAGTATGCTCTGGTACACATTTTTGTATCTGCAAAGACTTTACGCTTCCAGTGGCAGAGTACTAAATCCATAAACCTGAGAAACCAGCTGCAAAAACTCCTGTTGCGCAGCCATGATGTTACTCGAGAGCTTCTCAGCCTGCGGGAGCTTATGTGAATGAAAAGGAAAAACGAAAGGAAGAAAGAAAGAAACAATCACACACCTCATGCTGGACATTGACTATCTCTCTTCTAACCACGTCTAGCGCCGTATGCAATCCTTCGATCTGGTGTAGCACAAAGAAGATGAACACCACTCTTGAAACGCTTATAAAAAGAAAATGCCACCTCGTTTTGACGATGTTCTTTCTTTCCTCGCTCGTTTTGCTGAGGAATCTCAAGGATTTGCAAAGCATTGGCCCTCTTTTTGAAGATATCGCTCGGAAATCTCCTGCTGGATGATCCATTCGGCTGCTCAAGCGGCAAGACCCCAGAATCCATGCGAGGTAGCGGCATTAAACCCGAAAGAAAGAGATCCAGAAACAATACAACCCGGCAGGCAGTCGAACCTAAGAATGCGCCAGTCGCTTGGCGCTCCAGCTTCCATTATGGAGCGATCGATCGCATCCGACTTCTAGAACGCTCCCTCTCTCCCCTAAAATGCGCACAAGAATGAAATTTAGCTAGGGTTTATCAAAACACTGGGAATTCCACTCTCGAGTGGCAAGAGCTGCGAGGGAGCACAGGACAGGGCGTGATCTCTAGATTCTCTTTGCTCACGCACAGATAGATCTGGTAGAGCTGGGAGCTCCCGGAATCGTCGTCGTCGGCATTGCAGGTGATTCCAGGGGCATATCCTCCGTCCTGGAGCGCGTTCTTGATCAGGGCAAGGGGATAGGATTTTCCGTCGGGCGAGATTCCTGCTTGCTCCAGCGCTCCCAGAAGATCCACGCTCTTCCTCAGGCGCAGCGCAGCGGCGAAGTAATCGCGCTGGCTGCGCAGGATCTTCTCCGAGCACGTCCCGTGCTTCTCCCACTCGTGCGCCCAGAATTTCTCGCTGTTGCTACTCGGGCAGGATAGCGAGCTCCACAGCGCGTCCATGTCGCCGCGAAGACCTCCAATCTGGAATCAGGTATAAGATCTTCGTTCGTCTTCCATCGGATCGATTGGGACACTTACTTGAGAGGCATTGAATGGTCTCGAGGGATCGCAGTTCTCGGGGTAGCTTCCATCGAGATTGTTTGGCCAGAGCCCATGGATCGAGAAATCGGAGGCTGGCTTCCCGGATTGTGGGTAGCAGCAGCTGGTCGCGGCATCACAGTATGATCCAGGCCACTATATCCAAACAGATCAATGCTGCGAAGAGAAACAATCTGGAATCCATCTCTAACCTCCAAGACGAGGTAAAAGAAATCGAATGCCGACGATGTGCCCAACATAGTGAAGAATCCAACCAAGAGCGCGGCCGGGAGCTTCGACATTTTCCTCTGTTAGTGATCCCACAGTTCCCATATAACTCTTGGGCGTTTTGTCGAGATTCGCTCGCTGCGTCGTCATGCGGCTGAGCGATGGGATCCGGCCGCAGCTGTTTCTGGTAACCGACCAAAACGAAAGAGCGCGCAATCAATTCGTTTGAATCAAAGAGCCCTAAAATCTCAAGAGCCCTAATTCCAAGAACCCTAAAAACAGAGAACCTTCTTTCCAAAACAGAGGAGAAATGCTACTGCTACCGCTGGGCTTCCTCGCGCCCATCTGGGCCGCTGCCGAATCCATCGATTTCCAGTTCTACATCCACGAAGATTACAACACAAGTAAGCCCACGGCGATCCACGCCGCGGGCCCCCCATTCTTCGATCCCAGGGCGTCCAATGGCACAATTGGCGGCGTGGCCACGGCCGACGGAGGCCCAGGGCGTCTATATCAACGCCGCCCACGCCCTGGATACATCATTGTCGTAGCTTTCACGTCGGGACAATACACAGGAAGCAGCCTTAGCACGTTCCTGCTAATCATTTTCTTCCTTGGATTGGAACGCTCGAGATCCTGAAATTCCTGGGATGATCACTGTAGGTATTATATTCCTGGGCGAGAGCTATCAGTGGTGGGAGGGACTGGACAGTTCCGAGCCGCCAATGGCTACTGCAACACGTATACAATCTCCGTCGCTAATGGGACATTGCTCTTCTTCCTCACTGGAACCCTAAAAACTCCAACCAATCTTCGCGATTGACTCCTGGAACTACAGTCACAACGTGGAATGGTAGTTGATGATGGCACTTCTGGAAAAGGTCTCTATAGTTTTTTTCCTCTGGTTCGCTCGTCAATTTTGTTTGTAGTGGGAAAAGCAAGACACTGGCGGGATCAGCCGGCGGCCATACGCATACGCATCGGGAGAGCTTCTGGGATTCTCAAAGCTCGCCCCTGCACGTAGGGATGCTTGCACGAGGAGATTGACGTGCACATTCTGGACCGCACCACAATCTCGCATAAGCTTGCTAGGGCTCAATCGATCGATCATCTGCCGTGATGGCTCTCGAATGGGATCAAGGAAACCCACGGCATGCAGCTCCGCAAGCCTGGCAAGCTTCCAGGCGTGGTGGCGAGACCCCATTGTTGGCGTCTCCACTCGGACGGAGAAATCGTGGGAGTTCCACATTTGGGTCTGGAAGCGTACGTCGTGGCCGATCTCGTTTATGCCGATCGGGACTCCTCTCGGCGTCACGATCGACTGCGTCTAGACATTCTGGAGCTTCGTGGTAACTTCCACGTAGGGACAACAAGGCCTAGACAGGTCTCTAAGGTATTTTATTGACGAGAGTATCATCGTAATGGCTACTGCAACCAATATAAAATCTCCATACTGGCCCTCTAAAACTCCCACCATTCGGGATTGACTATGCATTGATTGACAGGGTTTTGTACGTGGCATCGTCGAGGCGCGGCGACGCTCTCACGTTAATCGGGTGCTCCATGAAGTTGACCACCGCCATAGCCTCGGTCATCTGGTGCTTCTCGATGTCGCCCGCGTAGCTCCAGTCGAATCCGTGGAGCAAGTTGGAGAGAACGAGCTGGACGTTGCGGAGGCCGAGTGGAAGGCCCGGGCATCCCCGCTTGCCGGATCCAAACGGGAGGAGCTCGAAGTCGTGGCCGTGCACGTTGAAGCTCGTGCCCATGAATCTGTCGGGGTTGAACTCGAGGGGATTGCTCCACACGCTCGGGTCGCGGCCGATGGCGAAGACATTGACGAAGATCATCGAGTTCTTGGCGATGTCGTAGCCCGCGACTTTCTGGTTTTGAGCGGTGGTGTGAGGGACCATCATGGTGAGCGGGGGATGGAGCCGAAACACCTCCTTGACCAAGGCACTAAAGTACTCGAGCTTGGGCAAGTCCGACTCCTCGATCATGCGCTCTCGTCCCACAACCCTCTCGAGCTCTTCCTGTGCCTTGGCGATGACTTTGGGATAGTGGAGGAGCTCCGCCATAGCCCACTCCACGACTGTGGATGACGTTTCAGATCCTCCCAGAAACATGTCCTGCGTGAAGAAGAGACCATCAAAAAAGTGTGTACGATGAAGAAAGCAATCCAAGGCTTACCACAAGGAGTGCCTTGGTGTATTTCATCTGGTCGGGGCCATCGAAGTAGGACTTCGTGAGGGCCACGAAATCGGGGACCTCGCCGGGGCGCTGCTCGTCGAGAACTTTGGTGAGGAAGCTATTGAGCTTGTCGCTGGCGGCCTTGGCGGCGGGGACGGTCCAGTCGATCCACTTCGTCCCGGGGAAGAAATCGGTGATGGCGAAGGCGCCGCCCACGGTGAGCACGCTGTCGATGATGTTGACGAACTCCTTGGCCTCCTGCAGCGCGCTCTCGTCGGTGGAGGCGCCGGGGCCGAAGTAGACCTTCTTCATCAGGATCCGGGTCATGAGGTTGAAGCTCAGGCCCCGGAGGTGTCTCCGGAGCTTGACAACCTCGCCGCTCGCCGACGCCGCGCGGAGCTCCCCGCTGAGCTTCCAGAGCTCGTCCCGGATGACGTGCGTGAAGGAGGTGACGCGGCGCGCGGTGAAGAGCTCGGTGGCGCAGAGCTTGCGCGCCTTCTTGAAGTGATCGCCATACGAGGACCAGGAGATGCTGCGCTGCCCGTAGAAGATGAAGTTCGCGGCGATCTTGTAGGGGCGATCCGCGAATGCGGTGTCGTGGGTCTTGAGGATCTCGCGCGCCATGGCGGGGCTGGAGACCACCACCACCGGGACGAAGCCAAAGCGCAGGGACATGAGCGGGCCAAATTTGGCGGAGAGCTGCTGGAGCGAGACGTGTGGGAGGCGGCCGATGAGATGGAAGTGGCCGATGATCGGGAGGCCTCGCGGACCCGGCGGGAGATTCTTGAGACCATAGCGGCTCTTGGCGATCGCCCACCACGCGATCACCGCCGCCACCAGGGCGATGGTTAAGGTGGCGCGGATGGTGTTGCTGGGCGGGCCTTCGTCTTGGAGAGCGGGGGCGGCATTGACGAGCGACGCCATTCCGCTCGTTAAGATCGATCGATTTGCTGCAATGTGCCTCGAGCAAAGCACACTCCTATTGGAGAGGAAGAAAAAAATATAATTTTGTGAAACAACAAAGCGTCGGGTGTTCTATATAGGCTGCCATATAGCAGTTAAACAACCAGTCATTCGAGACTTGACCATGCCACGTGACATCTTTAGGGTTTATGGATATGGGTTAGGGTTCTTGGTTTGAAGGGTGGACGAGGAAATGGCGTCGTCGAGCGATAGCGAGAGCGAGAGGGAGAACGGGGAGGACGAGCTCGCGGCTGTGGAGGTGGCGCTCGCCGCGAATCCGGACAGCTACGAGGCGCACGAGCAGGTTTTACTCTCTCTCTCTCTTGTTCTCGATTTTGGCAGTGTCTCTGCGCAGTATGTCGCTGCTCTTCGCAAGGCTGGGCATCTCGACCGGCTCAGGGCCGCGAGGGAGGCCATGAACGCCTTGTTCCCGATACCCGGGAGAATGTGGCGGGAATGGGCCAGGGACGAAGCAAATCTCTTGGACGGGTACGTTTTAGATATCTTCTTGTTTTAGTTTTAGCTGCCAACGATCGCGCTGGCGCAGGAGCGATATATCGCCGGTGGTGGAGTTGTACGAGCGCGGGCTCAGGGAGTACTTGGTGCGTGGTACGTGAGCTTTATTCTCGTCTCGGATTGCTAATCGCGTGCTTTGTCTGGTTTGTTTTTCCGATTTTTTTCCTTTCCCAGGACGTGCCACTCTGGCTGGATTACTTGGAGTTTGTAGAGGACAGGGACCCAGGAGTTTCACAGTGCACACCTCAGGGGCTTCAGAAAATGCGAGAGCTTTACGAGAGAGCCATCACTGCTTCTGGGATTCACGCGACGGAGGGTTCGGCGATTTGGGAGGCTTATCGCGAGTTTGAACAAGCTGTTTTGCTGACTATGGCCGAATATACCGATGGTGACAAGGTAAAGTCTGTCTCTTTGGAAGGCTGTAGCTTAGAAGATCAAGTCACGCAGGAAAAGGAAAAACAAGCTGGACGCGTGGAGAGCCTGTTTCACAGGCAGTTAGCAGTACCGCTTAGTAATCACGCTCCTACGCTGAATGACTACATAGAGTGGGAACGGGAGCAAGGGAAAACTATTGGAAGTCTCGAAGACAAGTTTGCTGGGGTTGATGCCAACGTGTTGGCAGCGTATAAAAAGGCAGAATCAGGATGGCTAGAGTGCAAAGTCTTCGAAAACAGTCTAAGTGGAAAACCTGCAGACGCAGAGCTTCTTCAGAACTATTTGGTACGTTTTTCATTCTCGAGGTTTTGCTGATTGGAATTGGCTTTAGCTGATGATCCTTATTCCAGATTTATATTGACTTCGAGCAGAAAAAAAGTAAAAGCGACCCAGCTAGAGTCCAGGTTCTTTTTGAACGTGCAGTTACAGCTTTCCCAGTGAGTAGTGATTTGTGGCTGAAATACACCGGTTACCTGGATCAGAAGCTAAAGGTAGTTCGCGCGATTATTATGCTATGGAAACACTAACAAAGATTATTTCAGGTTGCAGTGGTCTGCAAAAATGTCTACGCAAGGGCAGTGCGCAATTGCCCATGGGTTGGTGAGCTATGGAGAAAATATTTGTTGACATTAGAGCGTTTCAATAGCTCGGATGAAGAAATGTCTGAGGTACGGCGTTGCATTTCTTTATATATCTGATTGGTTTTTCCAGGTATTTGAGCAGTCAATGAAGAGGGGTTTCCAAACGCCCAGTGAGGTACCTAAAGGCAGCTGTTGTTGCTGGCAGTTGCTAACTAGATATATTGCAGTATCTCGACGTCTTCTTAACGCGGGTGGATGGCTTGAGAAGGCAAATGGCCTCTGTTGAGCGTTTACGTGAAGTATTTCAGGTACGTCCTTTTGTTTCTAAAAGGTTTTGTATGCGATTCTTTTCTCTTGCAGCGTGCCGCCGATTTACTGGCAAACTACTTTCCGGACTTTGTAGATCGGTCATTGCGACTGCAAGGATACTGGGCACGCATGGAAGTTCGCTTAGCGAAGGATATCAGCGCGGCCCGAAGCATTTGGGAGCGTTTGGTTAAATCCAGGTAAGCCGTTTTCGAGCCCTCGTTTACTCAAAGCGTCACCTTGTGCAGCGGATGGATGACTGAAGTTTGGCAAGGGTACATCAACATGGAGCTTGGACTGGAAAATATAAATGAAGTTCGAGCGCTATATAGGAAATGCTACTCTAGAAAGCTCGAAGGGAATGGCTCGAAGGTATGGATTCTAATTCTTGATTGTGATCGTTCATGTCGTTTTCAGGTAATCTGCGAGGGATGGCTGCAATTTGAACGCGAGTTTGGAACATTGGAAGACTTTGAGAAAGCTTCCTTAAAGGTAGAGCTTTTGCACTGAAAGTGACTAATTTTTTGCTTGACATAACCTGTGTACAGGCTGGACAAAGGCTAGAAGAAATACAGTCAATAGAGGCTGTTCAAGATACGGAGGAGTTTAAAGAGCCAAGGATGAAGCATGAACGGGGCAATCAGGAAAGCTCGGCGCAAGCGGCGAAACGTAAAAGGCCTAAAGATGTAAAAGAGGAGAAAAAACGACAGAAGGTTGCTCCTAAACGTGAACCTGGCAAGCTGCATTCTGAAGCCAAGATGGCTACGAATGAAGGAGACAGGGATGCATCTGAGCGTGAGAAACCAAACGAACAAGGCCAGGCCCCTGCGACAACTGATGGAAGAGGAGAAGCCGCTACGCAATTCAAGAAGAATCGTGTCTTCACAGATGAGCTGACTGCATTTGTTTCAAACATCGACCTGGAGGTACGGTGCTACTTTTATCATCGTGTGTGTTCTTACCAGGGATGTTCTCCAGCTGACGGAAAAGGAGCTAAAAGAGTTTTTCGCTCCCTGCGGTGGGCTCAAGGGTGTGAGACTGTTGAGGGACCGGAACACAAGGCGTTCTCGAGTAAAGACTAAAAGCTGCGAAACCGAATTTACGTTTCTGACGAAGTTGTTTCCTATGCAGGGGCTCGCGTACATAGATTTCGAAAACGAGGAGAATCTCGCAGCCGCTATCAGCAAAAACAGGACCAAGCTGGGTGCCCGCAAAGTCAGCGTAGCGCGTTCCAAGCCAAAGCCAAAGCAAGAAGGTAACGTGTCTTTCTTTTGTGTGCCTGTTCGTGAATGCGTTGCTTAGATGTTTCAGGTGGTAGTGAAAAGGTAGAGCGGGATAAGATCAAACCTCTCGGGTGGCAAGGCTCGGCCCCCAAAAGTGACGAGGCCCTCAATTCCAACGAGGAATTCCGGAAGACGCTTCTCAAGTCCAAGGAAAAAGTTGTAACTTGATTTAGTGTGCTCTCAAACTGATTGTAAAAACTTGGAACTAGTGCCAGCTAATGTGACAATGGAGGAAAAGAGAGTTCTTCGAACAACTTGGACCTTGCTTTGACATGTCAAAACTCTCGTCCATTTCCAACAGCTAGTCAAGTCTCATTAGAAATCCCACTGTCGAAGGACATTCCACTAAGAGATTATAACTCTCGTTTGAACTAGTCTCCACCTAGTGTACACTCTCGCCTGAAGAATCTCAAACAAAAAACTCTCCTTTTCTAAGCCGGATAAAAAAGGATAACAGCTTATAACTAAGATTAAGTCAGTGGAACAAGAAAACTTCTCGATCGTGGAAGAGTAGATGGCCCTTTAATTATGGCATTTCCATTGATTATGCAGAAATTTCGTCCACCTCTAACAGAAGATCCGTTAACATCAGTGCAATATCGAATGCCTAAGATCCGGGCTAAAAGCCATGTAAAATCTGAAATTGACCTCCAAAGCCCCTAATTTAGTCAACTTGTTTAGAAAGAATCTTCCCAATGACCATAAAGACAATCCATCTTAAGATTATAGATTTGTGGGTGCCTCCGTGAGGAAGCGTTCCAAAAATTTGGATATGCCGCTATTATGTGGCCAACACACGGTATTCTTTAGTAAAAGGCGAAAGAATAGTTCGCTCTGCGGTGACCACACGGCTTGTGTGATTGAAAAATAAGCCTTCGTCCATGTTATATACCCACTGCATTGCATGAAAGTAAACCGCGGCATGTGGGATAACTTGACGAGCCCTAGTCCCAGCCCTAGGACGATTTAGGGCTATTAGTATATTCTATTATAGCAACTGGGAGTTCGATTCCCGTTGCGAGCGAGAGGGCCCCTTAGTAATGTTTAAGCGATTCAAACCCGGGCGATGACAACGTGGTTGTTTTCGAAAGACGAGCTAGAACGCAAATCGCCGTCATTGCAAGATGGGATGGATGCGCGCACGGAGGCGTCCTACCGGGGCTACTACTCCACCTTCGCGCAGGAGCTGGGCAAGAAGCTCCAAGTGTAAGGATTTTGCTCCCCTTCCCCTTGTTTTCGTTTTTGCCCTAGGCTATGAGCGAGCTGGGAAAATCTCTCCAGGTCGCAGATGACCGTCGCCACCGCAATCACATTTTGCCATCGCTTCTACACGCGCCAGTCGCTGCTGAGGAACAATTGCCTGGTGAGTCTCTCGAGGTTTAGGGTTTTTGGATTTGGAGCTCTGTGTCACACAAGTTCTTCTTAGATTGTGGCAACCTCGTGCATGCTTCTGGCCACCAAGGTGGAGGAGACACACCGCTATCTCAAAGAGGTAGTGTTTATTTCCTATGAGTTGCGTAACCGAGACGACCCCAAAGCTCTGGAAAGAATCATGGAAGACAGGGTATAGTACCTCTTTCTCGTATCTTTTCTTTTTTCTAGGACTGCTTCGATTCTATGAAGTTTTTTTCTTCTTCTTCCTGTTCTAAAACCTGGCCTTTTTTTTCTTGCGGTGTAGGATTTGTATGTCTCCGAAAAGCAGCTTGTGCTGTATGGAGAGCGGCTGGTTCTCACAACGATAGAGTTTGATTTAAGTGTGGTAAATCCACACAAGCCACTGGTGGCTACGCTGAAGAGGCTACGCATTCTCAAGCAGGACCTCGTACAGCGGGCCTGGAATTTTCTAAATGACGGGTAAGTTCTTCCGGGGTGTTTTCGTTTTCCTTGAGATGGATGCGATTGCAGGCTTCGGACAACACTCGTTTTACAATTCAAACCCGGCCAAGTTGCCGCTGGTGCGATTTACGTGGCCGCGAGGCTGCTCAAGATAAAGCTCCCGGAAGAAGAAGGTGGGCGTTTCTGGTGGCATGAGCTCGATGTAACTCCTGTTCTTCTCGAAGGTAAAGCTTTCGTTTTCTCAATCGTAGAGAATTTCGTAAACTCTTGCTTGTACAGAGATTGCTAGTCAGTTGCTGGAAGTGTATGACAATCCATCGCTTCTTAGCCCTGCCGAGCAGAGAAACGGGAGAAGCAGCAGAGAGAACGGGGACGCTTTTACTTCGAGCCAAACATTCAGCTAGAAAAGAATTCCTTTGGTGGCGGAGGCATCGCTGTTAACTCTAGGACGATCCTCTCGAAACACTGTACAAAATCAGGTAGTGTCTTCGGGAAACTGATATTTTGTTTTCCTTCTTTTTCCTGCCAAGAGAAAAAAAAAGATTTCGAACCCGGCCCTTCCTTCTCTACAGTATCATCAAAAGGAAAACCAAAGCATCACTGCGAGAAGGTGTTTGCAAGCAGCAAGTAAGCAGTGGCTTCATCGAGCTCGAGCATTTGCCGAGCTACCATCTCTCCTCGCAGGAAGTCGCCATTGATCCGGCAAGCTCCCAACAGGCTCGTCCACGCCGCCGCGCTTGGCACCAGTGGCATGCTCCGGATGAGCTCCTCGGCGTCACCCAGCTGGTTGCACCGCGCCAGCAAATCCACCACGCAGCAGTAGTGCTCTTGTGTCGGAGATATCCCAAAGCTGGACTGCAGCGACAGGAAGCACTGTCGCCCATCCTCCAGCATTCCTGCATGGCTGTAGCCGACAAGGACTGCGCCAAATGTCAGCTCGTTGGGCTCCCAGCCGTCACAGCACATCTTCCACACGATGTGGAGTGCGTCCGACAAATGCCCGTTTTGGGCATATGCCTCCACAAGAGACGTCCACGTCAGCAGGTTGACTAGTGGCATCGAGTCAAACACGCTTTTCGCTTGCTCGCAATGCCCACTTTGGGCGAGGAGTGTGATTTGGATCGTCCCCGAGACAATGTCATGTTGGGCCATATTTGCTATTGTTTCTTTCGCATCACCTAGATACCCTTCCTGGGTAAATGCATGGGCGATTAGATTCCACGATACCGCGTCGCGCTGAGGCATATTCTTGAAGAGGGTCTCCGCCTCAGCCAAGAGCTTGCATTGCACGTAGCAGTGAAGCAGTGTGTTCCACGAGACGGAATCTCTTTGAGGCATCTTTTCCATGAAAGCCTTTGCGCTCTCGATTTGACCCGCCAGAGAAGTCGCCCGCATTAGCAGATTCCAGGAGACTACATCTCTTTCGAGCATAGATTCAAATTCCTGCCAAGCTTCTACAAGGTGCCCGTTTAAAGCGTATGCTGCGACGACAATGTTCCATGATATCACAGTGCGTTGCGGCATCAAAAGAAAGATTTTTTGAATTGAATCCACGTCTACGAGGGATTGGAGCAGCACGGTCCAGGACACGACATCTCTTTCTCGCATCCCTTCGAAACATTTCATTGCTCGCAGATGATGCCCGGTGCGGGCAATCGTGGTAAAGACTGCAGTACAGGACACTGCATTTCTCCACGGAATCTTTGAAAATGCTAATGTAGCATAGCCAAGACTCTCCGCTCGCGCGCATGCATCTATTAGCACCGCCCAGCTGACCACATTGCGCTGGGGCATTGCACCAAATATTTCAAGCACGACCAAAAAATCCCCTCTACAGGCATTTGCTTGCAAGATGCTCGTCCAGGACACCACGTCTCTGCACGGCATTCTCTGAAAGAAATTTTCAGTCACGCGGAGATCCTGGCACGAGTCAAGCGCAGCCAGCATGGTGTTCCACGAGACAATGTCGCGGTGGGGCATTGTGTGAAAAGCAGCCGAAAGGTGTGACAAGTGCCCGGTGCGGGCCTGTGCCGCGAGGAGAGTGTTCCAAGAGTGGAGGTTCGGAACCTGGATGGCGTCGAAAGTGCGGGTGGCGAGTTGGAAGCTACCAGCACGACCATAGGCGTCGATGAAGAGGTTGGCAAGGTATCTGCTACTGTCGAGGCCGCTGCCAACGATAGCGCCGTGGACGAACTTCAAATCACGCAAGCAACCGCGGCACCGCCTGATCAAATCTGCAAAGTAACACTCACTTAGAAACATTTACAACACTCTTACTACATTCTACAATATAATGATCAAGCAATCAGTAAATCCAACTTGAGATTATAGATTTGTTGGGGGTGCCTCCGTGAGGAAGCGTTCCAAAAATTTGGATATGCCGCTATTATGTGGCCAGCACACGGTATTCTTTAGTAAAAGGCGAAAGAATAGTTCGCTCTGTGCTGACCACACGGCCCGTATGGTGCACTAGGCGTTCTTGGTCGCTTTATATACTCCTCTCCGGCTTGAAACCAAGCTCCGGCATGTGGGATAACTCCACAAGCCCTATTTCGACAAACCTAAAGAAAATTAGGGTTCTTGAGATATTTCATCCCTGTGTGATTGCAGGTCTGATTTGCGTGGCTGTGAGGCTGCTAAAGAGATAAAGATCCAAAGGGGATGCTCCTGGTGGCATGAGCCGCGTGGTTTCTTTTTGAGGAGACGTTTAAACAACAGCTTGCAAATTTGCAGGGACTTCTATCACAATTAGAAAGAAAGTATCGCTTCGATCGAACTTTGAGGCGATCCTCTCAAAATCTGGTAGTTTACGCTGTACAGATGAAGGCCAAGAGAAAATTGGTTTCCCTTCTGGTACCACGCTCTCGCCCCGTCCTATACTCCGTTTACGCTGCCTGACTTTTGCATCTCGAGGTCTTTCTCGCCGGTTTGGCGCTCCGCCTCGTCGACTTTGGGTGTGGCACGGCTGTAGATTGCGTACAAGATCAGCTGCATTGCGCCCAGAAAAGCGCCGAGAGCATTGGGAATCTGTGATAGCGAGAGGTCAGCAAAGCTTCCAACTTTACGAAGACAAATCTAGACTCTGCAACTTACAAGGACGAAGACGTCGGAAGTGAGGAGGCCGTAGACGAGCCACGCGCATCCATTGATGAAGACGAACAGAGAGAGGTAGAAAGGCATGAATTCCACGCTTCTCGTTCTGATTACCATTCGCTGTTTAGGGACAGGAAGTGAGTTAAACCGCGGAGGGATAAGAACAAAAAGATAGCTTCTTTTCACGTTTCTTGGTTCTACTGGAGCCAGGTGGTGATCTCTTACCATGACAGAGAGTGGAGCGACGTTCATCCCCGTTGTGAAGATCACGCACAGGATTCCCACAAACAGCTTCCTCTGGGTTTTCTGCGTCATCGCAAAGACGGTGACGAGCAAAATCACGGCTACAAAGAGAGGTACGATGATCAAGCTCGCTACGATCTTCATCTGTTCGAGGAGCAGCAAAGACAAACCAAACGATTGGTAACCGGTTCTGTGAATTGGTCACGAGAGGTACCTTCTTCTTGGCAGTGGTGTAGCGGAGGTAGATCAAAACGTACGTGAGCTGGAGGATCGCTCCACTGATGTTGATGGTGATAACTGGGATGTTTATTTGCACCCAGGGGAGACCATACCACGTCCAGAGGAGGCAATTCAGGAGCGTGACCGCGTATGGAAGCCACGAGAAATCTCGTGTCGATTTCTCCTTGTGTATCCTCCAGAATGTTGGTCTGTGAAAAGCCCGCAATTGTGAGCAAAGAAACCATCTCCAAGGAAGTGGAAGAAGGAAGAACTCACATTGGTGACAAGAACAAGCAAATTGATATGAGATTCCCTGTTACACATAGACACACCACCGTCAAATCGTCGCTAGAACGAAAAAATCTCTTCTCTTGCTCTTCGTTCTAGCTAACATACCGAGAATTCCGAATGCTAAGCTCAATGCTGCCATGGCGCCAAAATTTTCGCTCCTACCAAAAAACTTTTTTCTCTTTTTGTTTTTTTTTTTTCCTTGCTTCTCTCTTGCTTCTTGCTGATGTTTGCGCGACGAGCCTCCGCATTTTAAAGAGCGAGAAAGATTCCAGTGTCCGATACTGCCGTATCATGTGTGCGCGGACGCGTGGCGCCACGTGTCGAGGGCTCCGTATGTACGGCCCTCCGACACTGGTCTCGCGGTGGTCGGCTAGGCCAAGGTGGTCAAATTTTAAGTGGAGAAAATTTTGATACAAGCGAAGACACGCAATGTTCTTTGATTATAAGATCCGTGCACGAAGAGAAAAAAAAAAAGCAAAAGCGATCTTCCTTCTAAAGTTCTTCCAAAGAAAAAGAAAGTTAAAAAAAGAAATAAAGAGCGAGCGATACGCACGAGTGCCATCGTCAAACTACCATATCATCACATTCTTCCCAGGAGAAAACTTTAAGCGATCTTTTAGTACGATCTTTTACAATTTGGCTGTTGCGACACAAAGTCAGTTGCAAAGCCAAAAAGCAAATCTAACTTTTGCTCCTCAGTGTGGTGTTTTAGAAACTGTCGGCGAGCTGGTCGAGCAATTGCTCCGGGTTGGAGTTTCTACACATATCAACGTCGAACTGGAGAAAGAAAGAAAGTCCAGAGTCAAAACACCCGAACAAACGATCAGCTTACCATGCGTATGGCGCATATGGCTCTCACTAGCTTCTCGCCCAGGATGCTCTTCAAGTCCTTGTTTGCGTTGAGAGCTTCCACCGCGGCGCTTAGCTCTGACGGCAGGCTCGGGACTGTGCCTTTCGGAAGTGTGGAAGGATCGACGCCTGGAAAAGAGAGACGGAGCACGGAGTTTTAAAAGAGAAACTTTCAACTTGCAAGAGAAGAACTTACTTATTCCTTCGGGAAGAACCATGTGTTTCCTCAAACCATCGATTCCTGCTGCTACAATCGCCGCAAGTCCCAGGTGCGGATTGGCCATGCCATCGAAAGCTTTGAGCTCGAAGTTACTAACTCCATCAGCATCCGGTGGCGACAGTGTGCGCAATGCGGCCTCTCGGTTGCTGTGGCCCCAGCACTGAAACGCTCCACTCCAAGTGCATGGACGAAGTCGTGCGTAGCTTTGGCATACAACACAAGAACAGTTTATAAGGACATATATAAGAAAGCAATGCAATGGAGCAAATCACAATCAACTCTACCTGTTAGGATGTGGTGCGGTAAATGCTAGAATGGAAGGCAGGTGGTGCAAAACTCCAGCAAGGAACTCTTCACCAAGCGGGGACATGCCGTAGCGGGAGGTTTCGTCCATGAGCTTGTTTACTCCCCCTTCCCAAAGACTCATGTGGACATGCGAACCCGAGCCAAGGTCATTTGCAAAGTACCTGGAAAGTTAAAATGTTTTAAATTCCAAATGATGGAAAGATGAAGATTGTTTCTTACTTTGGCAAGAATGTTGCATTAATATGGTGCTTAAGAGCAATAGACTTGACAGTGTCTCGTAGCAAAAGCACGTTATCAGCTGCAGTACTTGCTGGACAATGGTTGAGAGAAATCTCGAACTGTCCATTGCCTGCTTCTGCATGCATCTAAGAGAGCAAAGGTAAAACAAGAAACATAACTTTAAAAGTAGAAACACACCTGTTCCACCTCGATATCTAGCTTTTTCAATGAGTCGTAGATGTCATCCATGATATGTGACGAGGAATCAAAAGATATTGCGGAGCAATAGTTGGTAGTATCCAGCCCAGTCCAGTTCAAAGGCCCTCTGTCAGAGAAAAACAAGAGTCAATATGCCAAACAGCACTTCTTGTATGAAAATTTACTGTTTTGACGGCTTAAGCAAATAGAACTCGTTTTCGAATCCAACACGTATTTCCTGCAGCAAAATCTCGATGTAAACACATGTTAGAAAACTAATTTCGGTACCAGGTTAAACTCCTTTTTCAGTATCTCCAGCGTGCATTGCAATGTGCCTCTTGGACAGCACTCCCAAGGACTCCCAGGTACGATGTGCATGTTTCCAAGGACTATTTCGTGTTGTGGATACCTACAAAAAATCTCACATGAGAAAAAAAAACAACAAATCTTAACGCCAGTTTGCGGCTTACCATGGTAGTCTGCGCTTGGTTGCTAGATCTGGCATCAACCTGACCTCTCCAACCGCACTCAAACCGGATCCTTTTGCAACAGCATCGATTCCAGCCGGAAGTGCCATTCCACACTCGACAAGACCAACACCATGCTTTAAAATTGAAGTCTTGAACCTTTCAGCTGGAACAACCTACAAACAATGCAATCAGTGAATAGTACTTGACAAAACTTAAAAGCTTACCCGACATCGCCTCTGTCCTGAGCCATCTCCCCATAGCAGCCGGACTTGTTTGATTTCCTTGTCCGCTGCCATGACTTTGTCCTTACCGTGCACCATTTTTTTAATGGCCGCCGTAGATGGGCTGGAGGCGGCATCGCCATTAAGTTTATAGAAAGACAAGGCGTTCTTTTGGAGGATTCCTTCCGCTGCGGCAATGCTCTCTTCAACAGAGAGATCCCCATCGACGTAAGCGTTGTACAAAACCTTTGTTAAAACCTCCCGGGTCCATTTCGTCCCTGAAAGCTTAAACATGTAAGAACCAGCATGATCATGCACATGCGTGTATCAAACTTCCCCGTACCAAGATAATACGTTTCCGGAAATGCGTATCCATCTGTACTAAACATCATCTACAGCCGAGTCTGCTATCAATTCTTTACGTGAACTAGTCTGTCATATGGGAACTTTGATACCTTATCAAGCGGGGCGAGCTCCAGGAGCTGGCTTAACGTGTTTTCCATTCCTCGGATGCTAAGCTTTGGGATAGCAAGGCCAAAGTCCAAATACACCTGCATAGCTATCCTTTTGGAAAGAGCTCAAAAGTTTGCGACCACTTACTTGTGCATAAACGCTGGCCAAGTACGAAGCCTCCTGAACAAATGGATATGAAGCATGGAGCAGGACCAGACGGCACTTTTTAAACCTTTCGTCTTCCAAAACAGCTCGCAGGTGCAAAGGATTTGACAAGCGAAGATCTAAATCTTTGTCGCCAAACCTGGATGAGAAATTCTGTTCAAAAGTTTATCTTTCGCCAAACCATAAACGCATACCCCGAATGTATTTGCATGGGCAGATCCTGAGAACACGCAACTTCGAGAGCTAGGACGAAGAGAAAATTCAAGAGCAGCTTGTTTTTTAATCGCAGAGGGCTGCTGACTGCAAGACAGCAGCACAGACAAAGAAAGTTGATTATATACCGTACAAAATCAAACAATCTTCATTTTCAGTTTCATACCCATATCTTGCACGAGTCCTTGCTCGGCATCTCGCCTCGACACGGTGGGATCAATATCAAGGCCACTCCTGTACGCAGCGATGCTCTTAAATGCCACAACTCCTTCCGAGAGTGTGCTTACAAAGTTAAGGCTGAAAGCTTTCACGGAAACGAATATAAAGTGAAGCAAAAAAAGGATATAATTTCAAGCTGCCAACAAATCGATCGGCAAAACTATCAAGTGTCCAAGTGACACCACCTGGGGGGCCCTGAATCCACCCAAAACGAATTTAATATACTTGTCCTCCTGTCAAAGAAATGGATTGGATCCTTACCTCTTTTAGGATGGCCTCGGCAACTATTTCGATCCGGAGCACACGGTGGACCACTGGAACAAATCCCTTGTGCCAGTCGAGAGCTTTCATTTTGTCCATTGCTAGTCCATCGTCGAGTAGCAGCACTGAAATCCCGGCGGCGTGGAAGCATTCGCGCGTGAGAGCTTCCAAGCCGGCGGCTTGTCGATGGGCCTCGATGCTCTCGAGCGAAGCGTCGGTCCCGTATAGCTGTGAGAGATCTCGCAAGCTTCTCTGCAAAAAAATTGGAGAACAATTAGCTAGAGCAAGCACAACAAAAAAGAAATAAGAGCAATCGAATCCTCTTCGTGCTTGGGGCATCAATCCTAGAGAAAATCTACAGGCAGAAGAATCGACCGTGCAGGCAGGTTCTTTACCTTGAAGCACAGCGTCTGGGATCCAAATCGCGCGAGGGCTTCGCCCTGCGACTCGGAGAAGGCCTGGAGCAGCGGCATGTGGGAATCCATACCGACGAGATTGTGCGCGTGGCCGTCCACCAGCGCCGTGGAATGGATCGCATCCCTAATCCTCTCGCGCTCCACCGCCATCGCCAATCCCTCGTCCAAGCAGGAAGTACTCACAAGTGTTGACTTCCACGTAAAAAAACAAGGGTTCAAACTATTTTCCCTGTCTTTAGGGCTTTTAGATCGGACGGCTGTTGTCGCTCCCCTGCTTTTAGGGCTCTTCCAGAGAACGAGACACTCTCTCCGACGAACAGGGCAACAGTGGTCACTGGTACGGTGAGAGAGAGGAGGCCTTCATTAAATGCCATAAAAAATCCCTCTCTTAGAAGTTTGGAGTAGCGGCCATCAAGGAGAATTGGGCTGGAATTCCTTCCTCTCCTCCGCCGCGATCTGGATCTAGGACCGATTGGCGCCTCTTCCTCCTCCCGAGAAGAATCTTGCCGCCCAGTCCATCAACCGGATTCGCGACAGTGGGAGAGGATGTGAGGGGGGACAAGGGCGAGCGCCGCGCGGAGATCGATCGACCAGGCAATGTGTGTGCTGTCGATCCTGATTGTGCTGCTACTGGGCCGAGTCGAGGCGAGCGTGGGCAGATCTCCACGTCACCGCCACACCCATCAAGAATTCTCGCTTAGGGCTCCTCATGGCGGGGGATCGCCAGCGCCAGCTCCGGGCTGCTGCTCGCCGCGGAGCCTGCCCAAGCGCCCGCACAGCGTGTCGATCACCGATTTTGGCGCAGTGGGCGACGGCCGGATCGTCAACACGCTCGCGTTCCAGAATGCGATCTTCTACCTCAAATCCTTCGCGGACAAGGGCGGCGCGCAGCTCTACGTTCCTCGCGGCCGATGGCTCACCGGGAGCTTCAATCTTACCAGCCATCTCACGCTCTTTCTCGAGGAAGGGGCGGTCATTCTTGGATCTCAGGTAGTGTTTCTCTTCTTCTTCCTCTATTTGCATTGCATGACAGCAAGAGAAGAGAAAGCTTTCTACTCTTCTCTCTTCTTGTTCTCCCATTTCTCTTTCTCCAAGCCTTTACTGCTACTGTTCTTCTGTGCGTGGTACAGAGTTTTTCCTTCTGGAAAAATTCTCTTTTTTTTCTCTCTAAATCCTTGGATTGTTCCAATGCTCATCCCTGGGTGTCTCAAGAATTTTCTACTCCAGCTTAACTTTTGCCCAAGTTTGAGCTAGAAAAACTAGTGTAAAAAAGTACCAGTCCTTTCTGGTTGCTGTCCAGCTTGCTGCATCGCGTCAGGCTTTGTTGAGCAGTCCAAAAACTAATTTTTTCTTAGTCGCCAAAGTTCTAAGTCTTTCCACCCTCACAGGATTTACTGGAATGGCCAGTTATCCCTGCGTTGCCGTCGTATGGACGAGGCCGAGAACTCCCTGGCGGAAGACACATTAGCTTGATCCATGGGAAGAACATGGTGGACGTGGTTATCACAGGTATAGTTTTATAGTTTCTTCCTCATTTGATCGATGATATGATATGCATAGTTCCTCGTTAAACGCAAGCTTCCTTTTCTTCTTTCCAGGCGCGAATGGCACGATCGATGGACAAGGCTCAGTGTGGTGGGACTGGTTCCACAACAAGACACTGGATTTCACGAGAGGCCATCTGGTGGAGCTCATTGATTCCCGGCACATCACAATCTCAAACGTTACGTTCAAGAACTCCCCGTTTTGGACTATCCATCCGGTTTACTGCAGGTTTGCTCTTTCATGTCCTTCTCTCGGGAAGAAAACTTTGACGTGATCTTTTGCAGCGACGTCTTGATCCAGGACGTGACCATCTTAGCTCCTCCATACGCTCCAAACATCGATGGAATAGATCCCGGTAAAAAAAAATCTTTTTTTTGGGTTCCTCGCGTTTGCAAAGCGAAAGCTCTAACTTCCGGAGATATATAGATTCATCGTCGAACGTTTGCATCCGGGACTGCTACATTTCCACCGGGGACGATCTCATCTCGATCAAAAGCGGCTGGGACGAGCACGGCATCAACTACGGCATGCCGAGCACCAACGTTTGCATCCACAACGTCTCGGGACAAAGCCCGACGAGCGCCGGAATCGCGTTTGGCAGCGAGATGTCTGGCGGGATCAGCGACGTTTTCATCAAGAGCGTGAGGGTGGCCAACTCGAGGAGTGGGATCCGGATCAAAACAGGCGCCGGGCGGGGCGGCTACATCACCAACATCTCCATCTCGGACCTCCAGCTCGAGAACGTAAGCGTGGCCTTCGACTTCACTGCCTTGTATGGAGGACACCCCGACGATGGTTACGATCCTCGAGCTCTTCCAGTGATACGAGGAATCTCCATCAGGGACGTGGTTGGACACGAGATCGGCTGGGCCGGGTGCATGGCCGGACTGGAAGAAGCTCCATTCCGCGACCTTTGCTTCGCCAACGTCTCCTTGTCGGTGGGAGCTGGAGCGTGGAATTGCTCCAATACGTATGGATTCTCGGAGAGGGTGGTGCCATCGCCGTGCTTGGAGCTGGACAGGAAGCAGCAGGACGGTGGCTTTTGCTTTGGAGAGGCGAGTTCGTGCTTCGAAGCTATCCGGCAGTACGATTCTTCCTAGGATCTGGGAGCTGATTCATGCGACGGGAGACCACGGAGCGATCGAACGACCAGCTAGTGATCGGCTAGAAGAAGAAGAAGAAGAAGAGGAACAAGAAGGAAGATCAGAGGGGGAGAAAAGCTTCCAGCGGCTTGTGAATAATTCTTTAGCGACAGGCAGGGCGCGACGAAGCCTTTTGATCATGGGATGTGAATAGGCACAGGAGGCATCGAGAGAGCTTTCTTCTCAAGAAGCTGGCATTTTTTTTTTCTCTATTTTTTCTAAAAGTATGCGTTTGTAGGAAGAGCATGAACACGCCTAGAGAAATAAGCCACGAACTAAATGCAAAGTGATCTCTTCGTTCTTTAAGACCTTGCTTTTCCTTTATTCCCCTTGGCTTTGCTCGCTCCAATCGTCACAAAGATGGCGGCAGCGGCGTAGAATCCTAAGTTCAGCGTCGATCAAAAGCTGGCGGATGCTGCGAGCAAAGACGAGTTGGAGCTCTTGATCCGGTTGCAAGTTTCGGTGCTAGGCTCGCGCAAGCACCAGTTATCTTCCAATCGAAATCTCTGTGACACCACACATTCCCTCCATCTGACGCATCGGACAACACAAACTCCGAGCCACCCTTTCCCTTTGTTTCTTCTTTCTTCGTCCTCTTCGCCTTCGTTCCATTTTCCACACGGCGCGGACTTCCACCTCCAGCCCCGCGGCCCCTGCACGTAGAGATGCTTGCATGGGAAGCCCAGCGTCAAGCTTTGCCCCGCCGCCACCTACGAGGAGCGTGAGAAATCGTTGTCTTGGGCGGGAGCAGTGTGGTCTTTCCCATGGAGATTGTATGTTAGTGTCAAGCAGTGGCCAGCCGTCACCTCTACAACTTCGTGCTCGCAGCCCAGCCGATCGCTTGATCGCTTCCAGACCCAAACGTTTGCGAACCACGAGCAAGGAACAAGGGGAGCGAGACAACGAGCGAAGCCAGCACTTGGGTCTCGCCACCATCGAGTCGTGCTGACCGTAGACGCTGACCTTGTGGAGCTTGGCGACGAGTGACTTGATCTCGCCGCTGGCCGGGAGAAGGAGCGCCTTGATATCCAAAGCGCGAAATCATTGCCCTCCCCTTGGATCACTGCTCGCAGGGCTGCAAGCCGTGTTGCTAGTCCCTGGATTCCACCATGGTAACGCGATGCTCCTCTACCATGAGCTTCCTTGTAGGAAATCCCAGTGGAATCGAAAAAAAAGGCATATACTTGTAATTCTTCTTAACATAATAATAGTAATAATTTAAATTAATTAATTTAGATTAGAAAAAGAAAATCAAGACCAACATTCTGATTCTAGCTGAAGCTCGGGACATGGCGGAGGAGACACATGCCGCGAATATCCCTCTATGTAGCTACAGTTCCAATGGTTGCTCTTCCCATTCAGCTCCAAGGCCACATCGGTGAAGCAAGTGTGGCGAAATGGCGACTGTGGCACCCCGCGAAAGTCACCCGCGCGGTTAACCCTCATCCCAACCACGTCCCGGAACGAGATATTCTCGATGGTAGCGAACGCGCTGGCGTTATACCCGGCGTCCGGGTGGTCACCATAGATCCCAGTGAAAGAAAACGCGACCCCGGTGTCGAGTATCTCAAAGCTCGCAAAGCTCGCGTTTCTGATGTAAGCCCCCCGGCCCGCGGAGGTCTTGATGTGGATGCCCTGTACGGCCCCGGAGATGGAGACGCCGTACGCGTGGACGTTGTAGATGCCCCCGGACATCTCGCTGCCCAGGGAGATACCGTGGGAGCCGCTGACGGTCAGGTTGACGAGGAAGACGTCGTGGCTGGGACGGTTGAAGGCCAGGCCGTACTCGTCCCAGCCGCTCTTGACGGCCACTGCGTCGTCACCGTTGCTTATGTACGTGTCGCGGATGCACACGTTGGAGCTGGAGTCTGCGGGGGAATATACACCCATGGTCAGCGCGGGAATGACTGCAAAGTTGACTAGAAGTCAAAGTGGCTCTAGCTATCAGCCAAAGCAAAGCCAGATTCCGTCTTATCTTATAGAGGGGAGAATGATCTAACCTGGATCGACTCCATCCGTATTGGGCGCCTTGTGAGGTGCCAAAATGGTGACTCCTTTGATCATCACGTCACTGGGGAAGAAAAAGAGGAGAAGAAAAGCTCTTCTTTTAATGCCAAGGATGGCTCATAATACCTCGTGTAAACGGGATGGAGCGTCCAAAAGGGCGAGTTGATCAAGGTAACGTTGTGGACGAGGATGTTGGAGGAGAACATAAACTCGACGAGGGAGCCCCGGGTGTGCTGGAGGGTTTTGGAGCGGAATCGGTTCCACCAGATGAGGCCTTGGCCATCGATGGTGCCATTGTTTCCTGGAAAAATCAAGTGTTTTTCAATCGATCACTAAGCGCTTATAAATACCCGTGATCGCGACGTCGGTGATCCTCAGCCCATGAAGCAAGCTCGTGTATCTCTTCCCTGGAAGCTCTCTTCCTCGCCCATACGATGGCAAGGGATCGACCACGGGCCAATCTTGAGGATCCTAGCGAAGAAATCCAGAAAAAAATCGGATTTTTTTTCCGTGCTAGAACTCTTCTCTTACCTCGGAGGCGAGGATTGTGGCGTCCTGTTCCAAGAAGAGAGTCATGTGGCTCGTGAGATTGAAGCATCCAGTGAGCCATTTGCCTCGCGGGATGTAGAGGGTCGCGCCTCCCAGCTTGCCAAAGCTACCAATGTGATCGATCGCCTTCTGGAACGCCTTGGTGTTAAGCGTGATCCCATCGCTCACTCCCCCAAAATCGGCGATGGAGAAAACGCGCGGCCGCGCCCTCGATAGCCCCGGGACCAGCCTGCTCTCGACGCTGTTGCATCCCTGGATCGCCGGCGAGCAATCACCCAGCAGGAACAGCGATGGCGATGCTAGGATGATGATCAACAAGAGAATCCTCGTTGCGGGATTCACTCTCCCATGAATCTCAAGCTCCATCAGTCGATCGATACCAAATTCTTCCTTTCCTCTCTGTTTTGTTTTTGGACGTGGCGGCCCCAAAGGAATTTCTAAGCAGCAAAAAGAAGATGTCGCAGGGAAACGACAGCGAAAGATCGCTGGGCAGCCGTCGATCCAGCGAATCCAACGGCCCCAGCGCTTCTTCCACACCTTATATCTCTCGTGACTTGTAAGTGCTCTGCCAAATCTTTTTTTCCTCCTTTGTGTCTGTGCGTCGCGGTTTTCTCTTGAATTGTCCACTGCGATTGGTATCTTTCGCTCATAAATCACGAGACTGCGTTTGATTGCAACCTCTCCAAATCCAAATCGTGGGATAGATGGTTTAGTACCAAATCAATCGTCTTTGTTCTAGCTTGAAGCAGTGGCAAGCATCATCCCGATCGCATCAAACGACTTGTCCGTCACGGTGCTCGCTCCATCCAGCATCAGCTCATGCCCGCTCACGAACCGCGAGTCCTCGCTAGCCAAGAACACGGCCGCATTGGCAACATCCTCCACGCTCAGCGCGCTTTCCAAATCCTCTCCATACCTGAGCGTCGTCGCCTTAGATGCCACAGCCCTGGCCCCATTCTCGTCCATCCCGGGCACAGCCTCGCGGAAGTAGCGCACAAACGCGGGCGTGGGAATGGCGCCCGGGGAGATGGCATTTGCCCGGATCCCATACCGCCCGAGCTGGACGGCGGCTGTCCGGGTTAGCCCGACCACCGCGTGCTTGCTGGCGGTGTACGCCAGCGGTGCGATGCCGGCGGCGCCCGTGACGTTGCTGGCCGTGTTGATGATGACGCCGGAGCCGCGCGGTACCATGTGCCGCGCGGCGTGCTTCATGCCCAGCGCCACGCCGGCCACGTTGACCGACATGACCCGGTCAAACGCGCGGATGTCGAGATCCCGGACATCGCGGCCGCCGGGCTCCCCGACGCCGGCATTGTTCATCATGATGTCAAGGCGGCCGTGTCGGGCAACCGCCGTGTTGACCAGGGCCTCCACGCTGGCCTCGTCGGCCACGTCGCAGTGGACGAATGTGGCTCGCGGCCCGATCGCGGCGCAGACCTTCTGGCCGAGCTCGTCCTGGATATCGCCCACGATGACGAAGGCGCCGTGTGCTGCGAATTTGATCGCGATGGCCTCGCCGATGCCGCTGGCTCCGCCCGTCACGATCGCCACTTTGTCTTGCAGCTTCATCTCTTGATCGAATCTAATGATCTGAGAAGGTTCCAAGATCAAGAAGAGATTTAGTGGACGAACACTCTCTACTTTGATATGCAGTACCGGATGGATCACTGGACAAGATGGAGCCTACCTTCTCGATCAAGTAGTCACTAGGTTGAGAGGAAAAACCTTTGAATCACTGCAACATTTGCATTTCCAAGTACGATTACCTGAGATCCCCGCTGAGATCCTATCAAATGCCGGCTTTGCCCTGGAGCTTTTGCCCACACTCTTTTGCTGTATATAGCGTGCTCTATCGTTCGATCCGCAAATGCAGCTGCGGACACCACAAAAGTCAAGATGGCGTATTCTGATGTTTCATTGTCATGTGGCCACCCACATTATTGAGCAACACGTAGGCCGCTCGGCAGCGAGGATTCGAACGAAGCACCTCTTTGGCCGCTGCGTTTGCGATGGTCTTCTTCTCCTTGTGACCCAAACAAGCTGCGAGCAGGCACGTCCAGTCGAACACATCCGGCTCGAACGGCATATGCTTGATGAGGTCCTCCGTGTCGTCCAGATGCCCGGCTCGTCCCAGCAGATCGACCATGCAACAGTAATGCTGCCTTGTCGGCCGCAGCCCAAAATCCACAGCCATGGATCGGAAGTACTGCCTCCCAGCATACACTCTCCCGGCATGGCTGCAAGCAACGAGTATAGAGTTGAAGCACAGCTCCTCCGGAGGAAAGATGGGCTTCATTCTCTCAAACACTTCAAATGCCTCTGCGTAGCGGCCGTTGTGGGCGTGTGCTGCCAGCATGGCAGTCCACAGCACCAAATCCAGCTCCGGAATTGCCCGAAACAGCTCGCTGGCAGTGCTGACGTGCCCGTTCTGGGCATATGCCACGAGCAGCGCCGTCCACGTCACCTGGTTTCGTTGTGGCATGTCATCAAACAGGTGCTTTGCTTCGCTCAAACACTCGTGTTGAGCGTATGCTGACATCATCCCCGTCCATGTCATGACATCCCTGAGAGGCATGCTGTCAAACAGGCATTTTGCTTTCTCAAGGTGCCCGGATTGGGCATATCCAGTCAGCATTGCGTTCCAGCTTACGAGGTCTCTGTGTGGCATCTTTACGAGTATATCTTCTGCTTCCATAAGTTTTCCTGCTTCTAGATAGACAGTCAGCATAAGCGTCCAGGATACCAAGTCGTGCTCTGGCATTCTAAGATATATTTGCCTAGCTTTTTCGAGATGCCCGGTTTGGGTATATGCCGTAAGAAGAGAGTTCCAGGCTACTAGATCTGTTTGTGGGAGGTTGTCAAACAATGTTTTAGCATCGTTGATGTTTCCGGCTCCGGAATACATCACCAAAACTGAGCTGCAAGAAATTAAATCCCACTCTGGCATATTTTCAAAAAAGATTTCATGCGCTTGAGAGATATGCCCGGCTTGGGCATAACCACAGAGCAGTGTCGCCCACGAGACCATGTCCCTCAGCGCCATGCCCTCAAAGATCTTCCTGGCATCCCGCAAGATTCCTCCATTCACATATGCCGAGAGAATAGCATTGTAGGATATCATGTCGGGTTCTGGGATCCTGTCAAAAACACTTTTGGCTGATTCAAGATGCCCACCTTGGGCATATGCTGAAAGAATCGAGTTCCATGACAATATACTGCGGTGGGGCATAAGATCAAACACCTGACGTGCATTTTCAAGATGCCCGTTCTTGGCATATGCTGAAAGCATAGAATTCCAAGCAGGCGTGTCTTTGCTGGGCATCTGGTGAAACATGCGCTCCGCTTCTTCGAGATATCCAAAGGAGGCATACGCCACCAACATGGCCGTCCACGCCACAAGATTCCTGGAAGGCATTCTCTCAAACAGCTGCTCAGCATCTCGCAGATGCCCATTCTGGGTATATGCGATGAGCATAAAGTTCCAGGAATAAGAATCTCGGGACGCTCCAATGGCATCAAAGATCCTCCGCGCTCCATACACGTTTCCCTTTCTTCCATGGACTTTGATTTGCTCGTTGAGAGACGAGACTCTCAAATCCAGATCGGTAAACGAAGAGACCTTTGCTTTCTCTAGCACTGCTCGAATCGAGGAGGGATCACTAAAGATCAATCAAGTCGTGATAGATGTTTGCCATGGAAACGTAAGTGGCAGCATCGCCTTGATCCAGCTCCAGCAAAGAATCAAACGCCACCTTTCCAACCACAGCGTTCTTCCACTTCCCACACGCCGCAAGAACCGTCATCCAAGTTACTCCATTCGCCTCAAACGGCATGGATTTCACCACCGCCATCGCCTCCTCCAGCCGGTTCGCTCGCCCAAGAAGATCAACCATGCAGTGGTAGTGCTCCAGCGAGGGAGCCACGCCATAGCTGGAGCTCATACTCTCGAAGATCTCCCTCCCTTTGTCCACGAGCCCCGCACGGCTACACGCGGTGAGAACCGACGCTAGCGTGATCTCGTCCGGACGCAAGCCTTCTTCCCGGAACCTCGGAAACAAGCCAAGAACGCTGGCGGCGTCTCCCTGGCGAGCATACCCGGCTAGAATTGCGTTCCAGGTGACCAAGTCGCGCTTCACTCGAGTGATGGTGTCAAACTCTCGCTGAGCCGCCGCCATGCTACCGCATTTGCCATAGACGTCCACCAGCGAGCTCTCCAGCACGACGTTTCGATCGATCCCCCGCCGCAGGAGCTCCGAGTGGATAGATCTCGCGATGCCCAGCGATGCCACCGCGCTGCAAGCCTTGAGAGCCGCCACCAAAGTCCGGGAGTTTGGACGAGGAGATCCTCCGCTTCCACTTCCCATGCACGAGAAAAGCTCGAGAGCTAGCTCCGCCTCGGCGTTCTCGGCATAGCCCAGGATCAGTGTGTTCCAGGACGAGTCGCTGTGGATCATCGCCCTGTCAAACACTCTCCGCGCGTCCACCAGGCTTCCACACCTGGCGTACATGTCGATCAGAGTGTTCGCCACCATTGTGTTGGCGCTGTGATCGCTTCTCTCCACCTGGGAGTGAATCGCCATGCCGGATCGCAGTGACTCCACCTTGACGGTTCTTCCATCGATCTTTGCTGCTCCCACCTTCTCCTTGGCCGCCAGGCCAGTGCAGGCTTTGATGGCCGCGACGAAGGCTGGGACGCTTGCTACGTAGCCTTTCCTCGACTGCAAGCTCGCGAAAATCTCCAGAGCCGCCAGCTCCTCGCCACCCTCGGCATAGCCTTGGATGAGAGCGGTCCATGCCGAAAGATTGAGGCCGGGGATCTTGTCGAAAACTTTCCGAGCGTCAACCAGGCTGCCACACTTCGCGTACATCTCCACCAAAGTGCTCGCCACGAAAACGTCCGAGTCGCAGCAGCCACTCTTCTCGGCTTGGAGATGGATCGCCATGCCTGTTTCCAGCGAGAGCTTCTTCTTTTCGGCCTGGTTCTCGTCTTCCTTGGATGCAAGAACTACACACCCCTTGAGCGCTGCGAAGAAAGTCCGAGCATCCGGAGCTTGGCATTCCTTCTCCATCCGAGAGAAGAGATTCAAACACTTCTCGCCTTCTCCGTTTTCGGAGTATCCCAGCATCAAAGCGTTCCACGAGACCGTGTTGCGGCGACGAATCCTCTCGAAAGTCCTACGAGCCTCCACCAGGCTCCCACACTTCGCGAGCAAATCCACTGCCGAGTTTGCCACGAAGATGTCCTCCTGGAAACCACTTTCCACAGCCTCGCAGTAGATGTTTCTCGCTCGTTCCAGTGACTTGAGCTTGAAACTCTGCTCGTCATCTTTGGTGGCCTCCTCCTTCGCTGCCAGGCCGGAGCAAGCACTCATCGCAGCGACAAAGCTTAGAGCGCTTGGAGCGATGGACGAGCGCATGCACGAGAAGAGTTCCAGAGCGAGCTCGTGTTCGCCATTCTCGGCGTATCCCATCACCAAGGCCGTCCATGAAACCGTGGTATGAAACTCCATCCTGTCGAAAACTCTGCGAGCATCCAGCGTGCTCCCACACTTGGCGTAAACGTCGAGTAGAGTGTTTGCCACGAAGATGTCCGAGGTAAGCCCTCCACACTCGAGCTCCAAAGCCATAACTTTTTCCAGGGACAGAAGCTTGACAAGTTTTCCTTCGATTAGATCGCCATCTTCTTTCGCCCCCAGGCCAGCGCAGGCCTTCAATCCAGCGACGAACGTCAAGGCATTAGGACTCTCCACGCGTGGGAGAAGCTCCAAAGCCAGAGCTTCTTCTTCGTTCTCTGCGTAGCCGAGAACCAAAGCCGTCCAGGAAACTACACTGTGACTCGCCATCCTGTCGAAAACTCCTCTGGCATCGATCATACTCCCACACTTCGCATACATGTCCACCAAGCTGCTGGCCACGAAGATATCACCAGCGTTGTGACCAGACCTCACAGCTTCCAAGTGTATATCCATCCCCGTCTCCAGCGACTTTAGCTTGACAATCCTTCCGCCAACGAGCTTGCCATCTTCTTTCGTTGCAAGGCAAATGCAAGCCTTGAGCGCAGCTAGAAAAGCTCTTGAGTCTCTCGATCCCATCCTCGCGAAGAGCTCTAGCGCCTTCTCGCCCTGTCCGTGCTCGGCATATCCCAGCATGAGTGCCGTCGCCGATACCACGCAGTCGTAACTCATCCTGTCCAGGATCTTGCGAGCTTCTTCCAGATCCCCACACCTCGAGTAAAGATCCACCAGCGAGCTTGCCACAAAGCCTTCCATCTCGCAGCCACACTCCATAGCCTGGGAGTGGAGAGCCACGGCCTTCTTCAGAGCCTCCACTTTTAAAACTCTCCCCCCACCACCACCACCACCTTGTTCTTCTTGAAGCTTTCCTTCTTCTCGAGCGGCCAGGCTGCTACAAGCTTTCAGTCCGGCAACCAGAGCTCGAGCTCCAATCGGTCCACAAGCATCGGGTATGCAAGCGAAGAGCTCGAGCGCCATCTCGGCCTCCCCGTTATCTACGTAGCCGAGAACGAGAACAGTCCAGGACACCACCGTGTGCTCCGGCATCGTGTCGAAAACCCTGCGAGCATCCATCAAACTCCCACACTTAGCATACATATCAACCAAAGAGTTTGCTACCATCACCTCAAAGTCACAGCCAGCGATGGCAGCTCGAGAATGGAGCGCCAATCCTCTCTCCAGCGACGTTATCTTGATCAAAGCCTCTCCAGCATCTCGCCCGCCTTGCTCGATCGCTGCCATGGAGACGCAAGCCTTGATAGCAGCAAGAAAGGTGAGGGAGTTTGGCTGGCAATCCATTCGAGAGAAGTAGTCGAGCGCTGCCTGGCCTCCTCCAGGGGAGTTTTGCGCGTAGCCGAGGATGAGGGCGTTCCAGGAGACGACGTCGCGCCGCGGCATTGCGTCGAAGGCCTGGCGCGCCTCGGCCATGGATCCACACTTTGAATACATGCTCACCAGGGTGTTCGAGACTTGGATGCTCTCCCTGGCGTCGCTGCATTGGGCGATCTGGGCGTGGAGGATCCTCCCCTTGCGCAGGTCCCTGGATTTGCCACACTCTTTGAGCTGAGCGACCAAAACCCTTGTGCTCATGCAACCTAGGCCAAGAGCCCTAAATGAATACCATCCGTTGGATGGTCCTATATCCAATGGCTGACATTTGATTAAGCAGAATATTCTCGCTCTGGGAAGAAATCATGGCTTTCTTCGAACTGGTGTGTGAAGCACCAGCTTGTCTCCGTGATGCCGGAGATGGTCGAGCTGAGAGATTTGAAGGACAACTGTTTGAGCCATAAAGAGTATGGTTTCGATGACGAGATCATCACATTCACTCGTTCGAGACCCGAATCCTAAGCTGTCCGCCTGTTTGTCACTTCCATTGCTCGGACGATCGACCAAACGAAAGTCGCGGTTGACAACCTGCTGATTAGAGCACCAGCTCACACACCGTGATGTCGCCTGATCAATCACGTACCTTTAGTCTTGTGAGAAGTCCGGTATGTCGTCCATAAAATTGAATGGAAGATCCTTTTGTGCGGCGGACTGGGATATAAGCTGCAAGACGCTTGCCGCTGGCTCCTCGTTCTCTTCCTCGGATTGGACGGCGTCTTCCGGAACTTTAAAATAAACCTGGTGGAAGATAGGCGTTAAGCTCTTTGTGAGCGAATGAGTAAATGATTCACCTGGCATGTCCGAGCTGGTGACAGAACAAGGAAAGAGCTTGGACGATTGTTGAAGTTTGTTTCGGGCCTCCCAGGGATACCTTCGGGACTGGTGAAATGGTCCACGTCATGACCAACCTGGCAGGGAATTGAAACATGTAATGAAAGAAAGAAAAAGGAGAGATGAGTTTACCCGGCCACGGCCACCAAAGTCAAATGCATCACTGTCTAAAGCAATTTTGTACTTTCCGGGAAGATCACATCCAATCTTATACCTGCAGAAAAGAATGAGATCCCATACAAGTCGAATCGCCACATACCCCTCATAGGTTGTCTCTGGATGGAAGTTGAACACGAAAACTAAATCTCCTCTTTCAAAGACAATGACCTGAAATAATTGTTGAGATTTTGGTTGAATTTGGAAAGCTGCACCTTGTCTTTGTCGTGCGCACTCGAAACAATTAGAGGTAACGTCAGAAAGTGATATTTCTCCTCCAGCGCATTCATAGCTTTGTCAAATTCGTTCATAAACTGAATGCCGCGAATCAAAACACGCACAGCAAATGACAGTCACGGCAAACCTTGTATCGAAGATGGTCCGTGTCGACCAAATCCCACTGCCGTCGGCATTTATCATAGCTCCACTTGTTACCCTCTCTGGGAAAGTCGATCCATTCTGGATGTCCGAACTACAAAATAGCTCGAATAAATTTATTAGCCAGTCAAGAAAACTAGCGTACCTCATTTCCCATAAAATTCAAATAACCATCTCCTCCAAGAGCCATTGTAAGAAAATGGATCAT